ACTCATCTCACCACGGCGGTGGTGGCACTGAGGCAGGAGTTTATGCAAAACCCGAAGGACCAAGTGCTGAAAGAGCAGCTGAAGAAGCGGGAGCAGCAGCTCAAAGAATATCTTGCGTGTCGGAGGGACAGAATGCATACCATGGCTGGGATGGAGCTGGCGCTATCGGGAGAAGTTCCGTCTCCGCATTTATCGGTGAGGATTAAGACGCGGAAAACGAGAACGCAAATAGCGGAGGTAGCGGTACCAGGTGGAATGGTGTCAGACCCGAAGCAGATCCTGGAGGCAGCGTCGGAGTACTTCCGCAGCCTTTTTGGGGAAGACAAACGCACAGCAATCTCGGACTGGAGTCCGGTCGTGGGGATGCAGCTGACGTACACGGATAGGGAGGACCTGCAAGAGGAGTGGACGGAGGAGGAAGTTAGGCAGGCGGTCAAAGATATGTCGTGCAACAAAACACCCGCGAAAGACGGGCTGCCGAAGGAGATTTTCGAGCTGCACTGGGATACGCTTGGGAAACATGTCATGGGTCTTGTACGGGACTTCACTCTCACCTCCTCGCTCCCGACCAGTGTCAAGGATGCGGTGACGATCCTCCTGCATAAGAAGGGAGCGAAAGAGCAGTAAGAGAACTACCACCCTATTACATTACCGAACATTAGCTACAAAATTCTGGCGCGGGTCTTGGCGAGCAGGATTACAAAGGTCCTTCACAAGGTGATCTCGCGGGAGCAGTTTGGCTTCATACCGGGAAGGAGAATATCAGATGCGGTGGGGCTGGTTGCTGACATTATCAACGCAGCCAAGAATGGAAAGGAGGACTGGTTCATGCTGCTTGTTGACTTCAAAAAAACGTTTGACTCGGTGTCCCGGAACTTCATTTTTGAGGTGATGGGGAAGATGGGTTTCCCGGCCCGTTACGTTGGCTGGGTGAAGGGCTTGCATACCAACACGCGAACAAGTTTGCTAATCAACAGCTGGATGGGGGACGCAGTGGAAGTGGTCTCGGGGGTAAGGCAAGGTTGTCCCTTAGCACCATACCTCTTCCTCTGCGCTGTGGAGCCATTGGCGCAGAAGGTGATGAAGCGGAAAATCGGAATCTCCCTCACCAGTTTTGTCGGTCAGAGGATGGCCTATGTCGGTTATGCGGATGACACAACCCTCCTGCTGCAGGGGAAACAGCAAATCGGCAGAGCAGAGGAGGTGTTAGAGGAGTTCAAGAGTATCTCTGGTTTAGAGACGAATAAGGAGAAGTCGGTGGTGATGCCATTGGGTGTTAACCTGGGAAAGAAGACTAGGCGGTCTGACGGGTTTCGCTGGGCTGGCGCAGCCGAAGCAGAGAGACTCCTCGGGGTTGGGATTACGCCATGCGGAAGTTGTCAACCGACGTGGGATAAAGCGCTGCAGAAAATGGCCGGGAAGATGACGCGGTGGCAGCCGCAATACCTCCCAATTAAGGCGCGGACGGCGGTGATGGGCGGCTACATATTGCCGATTGCGTGGTCTCAGGCTCAGGTCTACCCGCCGCCGGCGCAGACCTGGGGGGTGATCACTACGATGACGCACAATTTCATGTCAGCCAACAAGGTCACGTCAAAAAAATGTTTTCAACTCTGGAGCAAGGAGCTGCTATTTACACCAGTGCTGGAAGGAGGAGTGGGGGCGAAGAACCCGGAAATGATGCTTACCTGCCTAACTGCCAGGAGGATCGGGCTGATACTTACGGAGACGGATCAGTTCAAGCGGGATCTGATGCGCCAGGCAGCTGACCTGCCACGGGGGCTGGAGACGTTCACGGCACATGAAAAGATTCTGAAATCATGGGAGGGGAAGAGTCAACGATGGAAGTTGGCTTGTGCGAATTTTATGCGTTCTCCGCTGGCGGAGTCTACAGAAAAGCGCGAGACGAAGGAGCTGATGCTAGAAAGGATTACGTTCAACAGGCACATCCTCCTAAAGGGTACCACGCCGGTGGGAGGGCAAAAAGCGGCGAAGCGGCTTCTTGATGTCAGGTTAGGCAACCTTGTTGGGAGAGACACAGAAGGGAAAGGGGTGCTGAAAAGTCTTGAAACCCTGGAGAGGGAGCTGCAGGGGAAGGACTCAGCAAACCTTGCGCTCAAAGCTTTCGCAGCGGCACTAGAATCATGGAGGAAGCAGCTTCTCTCTGCCGAGCTTCCAAACGTGGGGTTTGCGGATGTGTTTGTGGTGGGAAGAGGAGGCTCCCCGCAGCTCCGGGCAAAACTGTTGGCGGAGGGGGTAGCAGTGCCGCTGCGGTCGCTCAGGAAACACTGGAGACATGGCAACAGCGGGAAGTCCAGGCGGGAGAGATGGGCAAGCCGGTGGGGCGGCAGCATTGATTGGAAGCGGGTGGTACAAATTCGCGAGTCACTTGTTACCCCGAGTCGACCAAGAGATGTGATGTTGCGGATTCACTGCCTCAACCTGCAAGTCGGGGAGAGACTGGAGTGTCAAACATTATACATGTTCATATTGTGTAGGCTATAGTGGGTTTAGCCTTAGGGGGTACAACATTGCTAGGGTTTCCTACTTGTATCACCCTGCTGCCTAGTTTCACACATTCTCGTTCAGTTCTACATTCTAACATGGTATCACGAGCCTAGGTTGCTACCTAGGACCGCTTTCTCCTACGGGCCCACTATTCCGCTAGACGCGCCCTCGTGCGTCCTACCTTACGTGCGCCCTCGTGCGCCTTTCTATACTCGTGCGCCCTACCTTACGTGCGCCCTCGTGCGCCCCCGTGCGACCCGCCCTTCGGTCTGCCCATGTGCCGTCCTGCAGCCCTCGCGCTGCCTCCTGCAAGCTAGTACGGCCCTCGAGCCGCCCCTGCAGGTCCGTCAGGCCCCCGAGCCGCCTCTGCAGACCCGTCAGGCCCCCCCGAGCCGCCTCTGCAGGCCCGTCAGGCCCGAGAGCCGCCCCTGCAGCCAGCGCGCTGCCCTGCCGAGCCGCGTGTCGCCCGTGGGCGCTGCCTCTGCCCCGTCGCGCTGCCCTGGGGAGCCGCGCGCGACCCCCGCTGTCCCGTCGCGTCGCCCTGGGGAGCCGCGCTCGGCCCCCGCTGCCCCGTCGCGACGCCCTGGGGAGCCGCGCTCGGCCCCCGCTGCCCTGTCGCGACGTCCTGGGGAGCCGCGCTCGGCCCCCGCTGACCCGTCGCGACGCCCTAGGGAGCCACGCGCGCCCCCCCCGCTGCCCCGTCGCGACGCCCTGGGGAGCCGCGCGCGCCCCCCCCCCCCCCCCCCCCCGCTGCCCCGTCGCGGCGCCCTGGGGAGCCGCGCGCCGCCCCCCCCCCCCCTCGCTGCTGCCCGAGCCACCCTGCAGCCCGCGAGCCGCCTCTGTAGCGCCGAGTGCGCTCTGCCAAACCCTAAAATAAATAATTAATTATTAAAAAAAAAAAAAAAAAAAAGGGGAGCAGCTGCCCCTGGCCCCTGGAGCAGCCGCCCCTGGAGCAGCCGCCCCTGCAGCAGCCGCCCCTGCAGCAGCCGCCCCTGGACCTCTGCAGCCGCCCCTGGCCCCTGGAGCAGCCGCCCCTGCAGCTGCCGCGGAGCCCTCGCCCTGCAGTGGTAGCGGCCTCGCCGTTACCACCGTCGTACGCCTGCCCTTCTCGCCACTGGTGAGCACTGCCCTGCCCGTATTGCTGTTACTGCTGCTCGTGCTGCTACTGCTCTTTCTACTTCTACTGCTGCTCCTGGCGTGGCCAGATGCAGCTCCAGCGCCGTCCGCGTGAGTCCCTCACGCCCCAACAGCTTCGTGAGCGGTATGCTGGTTGGGGTTGTAGGGGTGACCGCGCTGCTGCTACTACTACTGCTGCTACTACTGCTACTGCTGCTCCTGGCGGTGGCCAGATGCAGCTCCCGCGACGTCCGAGTGAGTCCCTCACGCCCCAGCAGCTTCGTGAGTGGTACGCTCAGCGTGGAGGGTCACGGGGTACTGCTCGCTGCCCGTACGTCATTCGCACTGGTGCTCGGACTGGTCAACCTTGCGGGACGTTTGGTCACACAGAGTCCCGCTGCTTCGCCCGTCTGAGCGACGCCTGGCGTACAGAGTTTGGCGACGCGGCTGAGCTCCCCGACTGGGTGGAGCTGCTTAGGCAGAGGGTATATATCTATGCTCTTGACTATGATGCTATCCTCACTGCCATGTATGCATTTCCTACTAGTGCTGAGAGTGCCTGTCACCTGTGTGTGCCGCCTGACCCCGGTATCCAGTCTGCTGCTCTAGGTACTGGTGAGGCTGCTGCACTAGGTGCTCGTGTGTCTGTTGCCCCAGGTGCTGGTGAGGCTGCTGCTCTAGGTACTCGTGAGTCTGCGCCCTCTGGTACTGCGTCTACTGAGGCACTGCACACCTTCACACTGGACTCAGGCGCTTCCCGCTGTTTCTTTCGTGACCGCACTGCCCTTGAGCAGCTTGCTCGGCCGGTTGCAGTCTCCCTCGCTGACCCCTCTGGGGGTCCGGTCATTGCGACCTCCTCTACTGTTCTCCCTTGTCCTGCGGTCCCGTCGGGCACTCTGTCAGGTCTCTACCTCCCCTCGTTCTCTACGAACTTGGTGGCGGGTAGTGCGCTCCAGGATGGGGGTGTCCACCAGTTTACCCCTGCCTACGAGCGTGTGACACACTGCACGTGCGCTCGGACGGGCCGCCACCTGGCTACCTTCACTCGGCAGCCGGGGTCGGACCTGTACACACTGACCACTGAGTCCCCACAGGTAGCTGCGTCTGCGTCTGCGTCAGGTCAGCTGTCTGCCCCCTGCTCGTGTCGCTCTCTGGCACACGAGACTGTCCTCTGGCACCACCGTCTTGGTCACCCGTCAGTGCAGCGCCTTCGTGCCATGCACAACCGGTACCTTGTCTCTGGTCTTCCCAGGGTTCTCCCTCCACTCCCACCCTCGCCTGCTCCTCCCTGCCTTCCCTGTGTCGAGGGGCGGCAGCGCGCCGCTCCTCACTCCTCCTCGTTTCCCCCGAGGACTGCTCCCTTGCAGACGCTCCACATGGACGTGTGGGGCCCAGCCCGCGTCCGTGGACAGGGTCAGGAGAGGTACTTCCTGATCGTTGTTGACGACTACTCGCGCTACACCACGGTCTTCCCCTTGCGCACCAAGGGTGAGGTCCCTGATGTTTTGATCCCTTGGATCCGCGCTTCTCGTCTCCAGCTCAGTGAGCGGTTCCACTCGGACTTTCCTGTCCTGCGTCTGCACTCTGACAGAGGTGGTGAGTTCTCCTCTGACCTCTTGGCAGCCTACTGTGCAGAGCACGGCATCCGCCAGTCGTTCACGCTTCTGGCCTCTCCACAGCAGAATGGGGTTGCTGAGCGCCGCATTGGTTTGGTCATGGAGGTCGCTCGTACCTCCTTGATCCATGCGGCTGCCCCCCACTTTCTGTGGCCGTTTGCGGTCCGATACGCTGCGCATCAGCTCAACCTCTGGCCCCGTGTCTCCGTTCCGGAGACTTCGCCGACACTGCGTTGGACGGGAGAGGTTGGCGATGCGTCGCGTTTTCGGGTCTGGGGATCCCGAGCTTTTGTTCGCGATACGTTCGCGGACAAGCTCTCCTCCCGCGCTGTTCCCTGTGTCTTTCTTGGCTTTGTCCCGGACGCGTCTGGTTGGCAGTTTTACCACGCCACCTCGCGCCGTGTCCTGCCCTCTCAGGACGTCACTTTTGACGAGTCCGTGCCCTACTACCGCCTCTTCCCCTACCGCACTGCCCCGCTCCCCCCCCCGCCTCTCTTCCTCGCGCCAGGTGCTGCTGTGTTAGACCCCCTCCCCCCTCAGGGTGCCGCTCCCTCAGGTGTGTCCCAGGTAGACCCGGTTGAGCCTGTCGAGGTAGCTGTCGACTCTCGTCCTGCCAGGGGTGCTGAGCCTGAGCGTGCGGAGCCTGGGGTTGCGGAGTCTGGGGGTGCTGAGCCTGGGGGTGCGGGGTCTGGGGGTGCGGAGCCTGCGGGTGCTGAGTCTGGGGGTGCTGAGCCTGGGGGTGCGGAGCCTGCGGGTGCTGAGTCTGGAGGTGCTGAGCCTGGGGGTGCTGAGCCTGGGAGTGCTACGTCTGAGAGTACTGAGCCTGAGCGTGCTGCACCTGGGGGAGGCCTCTCCTCGCAGCAGCTGCGTGAGTGGTACTTACAGTACTGCAGCCTCAGGAGAGGTGCTTCTGGAGCTCGGAGTGGTGCCGGAGCTGGTGCTAGTGCTTCCCCTCCTAGGCGGGAGCTGCCCTCTCCCCAGCAGCTCCGAGAGTGGTACGCTAGGCGCTGCAGTCTCCGGAGTGGCGCTCCCGGTGTCGTGGACTCTGGAGCTTCTGGAGTTACTGGAGGTGCTGCTGCTGCTGGCGGTGCGGCTGGCGCTGCTAGAGGTGCTACTGGTGCTGCTGGAGCTGCTGGAGGTACTGCTGCCGCTGGAGGTGCTGCTGGCGCTGCTGGAGGTACTATTGGTTCTGGTGCTGCTGGAGCTGCTGGAGCTGCTGCTGCTGCTGGCGGTGCGGCTGGCGCTGCTGGAGGTGCTGCTGGTGCTGCTGGCGCTGCTGGAGGTGCTACTGGTGCTGGAGATACTGGAGCTGCTGGTGGTACTGCTGCTGCTGGCGGTGCTGCTGGCGCTGCTGGAGGTGCTGCTGGTACTGGTGCTGCTGGAGCTGCTGGAGGTGCTGCTGCTGCTGGTGGTGCTGCTGGCACTGCTGGAGGTGCTGCTGGTACTGGAGCTGCTGGGGACCCTGCTGCTGCTGGCGGTGCTGCTGGAGCTGCTGGGACTGGCCCTGCTGAGGGGGTTGGAGCTGGAGGTGCTGAGCGGCCACGGCCGTACTACGTTCCGCTCCTTCAGCAGGTTCTTGGCCTTCCGCCCTCTCCTGGTCCTACTCCTCCCCTACTGAGTCCACCGCTTGTCCAGTCGCAGTCACAGTTACAGCCAGTCTCTCCACTTCCTGGTCCTTCTCCCTACACTGCGCCGACGGGAGGTCTTACGGAGCGTCGTGAGCCTGAGTCTCGTCCTCCGTCGCCTGAGACTCGTCCAGAGTCGTCTGAGTCGCGTCCAGAGTCGCCTGTCCGCGCTGTCCGCGCTGGTCGTCGTGTTCCACGTCAGCGTCCTCCTCCTGTCCTTGGCACTCACTATATGACCCTGCGTCCCTCTACTGCTCCACAGCGTGTCCCACTGCCGTCTCCACCAGCGTCCTCTCTTCCTGCTCTTGCTGACCCGGAGTCTGACTCTCTTCGTGCTGCCAGTCCTACTGTCACGCGTCTCCTTGCCACTACTGTCACTGACCCTTCCTTTGAGTCCTCTGCTGCGTCTGCTCTAGTCGCTGAGCTTGTTGACTTTGCTGCTGCCTGTCGTCTAGACTACGCCGCTAGCCTTGTTGCTGAGTCTGAGTCTGAGTCTGTCTGTCCTCCGTCTGTCGGGGGTGAGTGTGCTCTTGGCACGGACGTCCTTGAGGACAGACAGGAGGAGTTTGAGTGCTTTGCCGCTGCTTTGCCTCATCTCGTGTCCATGCTAGTTGCCCCTGAGGGAGACCCGGATGCACCAGACATCCCGACCCCACGCTCCTACGCAGAGGCGATGGAGGGTCCCTACTCCTCTCAGTGGCAGACAGCAATGGACGCAGAGATGGCTTCCTGGAAGTCCACAGGCACCTACGTCGACGAGGTTCCCCCACCTGGGGCGAACATCGTCAGTGGCATGTGGATTTTCAGGGTGAAGCGGCCGCCGGGTTCTCCGCCTGTCTTCAAGGCGCGTTACGTTGCACGAGGCTTCAGTCAGCGAGAGGGAGTTGACTTCTTCCAGACCTTCTCCCCGACCCCGAAGATGACCACTCTTCGGGTTCTGCTGCACGTCGCTGCTCAGCGTAACTACGAGCTCCACTCTCTTGACTTCAGCACTGCGTTCTTACAGGGCAGCCTGCACGAGGAGATCTGGCTGCGCCGCCCACCTGGCTTCACTGGGTCGTTCCCTCCTGGTACCCAGTGGAGCCTCCGGCGGCCAGTCTACGGTCTCCGCCAGGCACCCGTGAGTGGCACGACACACTGAGGACTACTCTTGCTGCTCTTGGGTTTGCTCCTTCTACTGCTGACCCGTCGCTGTTTCTACGCACCGACACCACTCTGCCGCCGTTCTACGTTCTTGTTTACGTAGACGACTTGGTCTTTGCTACTGCTGACACTGAGGCACTCGCCCACGTGAAGTCGGAGCTGCAGAAGAGACACACGTGCACAGACCTGGGTGAGCTGACAAGCTATCTTGGCTTGCGGATCACCCGGGACAGAGCACAGCGCACCATCACCTTGACTCAGTCACACATGGTGCAGCAGGTCCTTCAGCGCTTCCGCTTCACGTACTCCTCGCCTCAGCCCACTCCTCTGCCTACCGGTCACTCGCTCTCAGCTCTGCCTTCGGATGAGTCCGTAGAGCCGAGTGGCCCGTATCCAGAGCTTGTGGGCTGCCTCATGTACCTGATGACCTGCACTCGACCTGACCTGGCATACCCTCTTAGCATCCTAGCACGCTATGTCGCTCCCGGCCGTCACCGGAAGGAGCACATGGATGCCGCTAAGAGGGTGTTGCGCTACTTGTGCAGTACGTCGGGCATGGGGCTCGTGCTTGGAGGTCGGAGCGACGTTGTCCTCACGGGTCACTCAGACGCTTCTTGGGCTGACGACCAGGCTACGCAGCGGTCGTCTCAGGGTTACACCTTCAGCCTTGGCTCTGGTTCAGTTTCTTGGCGTTCTACTCGCTCTTCTTCTGTTCTCAGCTCCAGTTGTGAGGCTGAGATCTACGCCACAGCCATGGCTGCACAGGAGTTACGCTGGCTCACCTACCTGCTGACCGACCTGGGAGAGCGGCCTCGTTCTCCTCCAGTGCTGTACGTTGACAACAAGGCCGCCATTGCCTTGTGTGAGGAGCACAGACTGGAGCACAGGACGAAGCACATCGCTCTGCGCTACTTCCTTGCTCGAGAGCTGCAGCAGCGTGGTCAGCTTCGTCTGCGTTACGTGGCCACTCGGGCCAACACTGCTGATGTGTTCACCAAGGCACTTCAGCCTTGTGACCATCAGCGTTTCTGTACTGTTCTAGGCCTTGTGCCTACTCTCCCTCACTTGCTCACTTCTTGACTCTGCTTGTACTGTGATCTCTATATATATATACCTGCATGTTTACTCTTGTTAGGTTGTGATCACTGTACCTCTTGTTATATTATCAAACTGCATGTGAACTGGTCTTGTGACCACTTGCTTGTGCTCGGAATTTGTGTGGTTTTCTTGAGATCCATCCTGAGCTTGCTTTGCTTTGCTTTGACTGGTCTTGTGACCATCTGGTTGTCTCCCACTTAGCCTATGGGGGTGTGTCAAACATTATACATGTTCATATTGTGTATGCTATAGTGGGTTTAGCCTTAGGGGGTACAACATTGCTAGGGTTTCCTACTTGTATCACCCTGCTGCCTAGTTTCACACATTCTCGTTCAGTTCTACATTCTAACATGGAGTTTCTCAGCAGCAAGCCGGTCTGCCCTCATTGTGGCGGTTTCGAAACTCTGGAACACTGCCTCTTGGAGTTCCCGAAAACTCAGGGGGTGGTTTTGGCGGTAAAAAAGGCCTTAAGACTGATCAACCCAGCCAGGAAAGGTGACACGCTCGGTGATTGGCTGTTTGGCAAGGCAGGATCCTTGTCAGCATTTCCAGAAGCATCGTTGGTAGCGATTGCCCTTCATCAGCTATGGGCGGAGAGGTGTGAAGGGGCTTTCAGAGGCTGCAAGTTCCGCACGTGGAGAGTTCTGCGGAGGATTGAGTCAGCCTTTCGCATGCATGTGAATGTCTATGTACGTGCCTCAGCAGCGAGGATGCAACAGCGTAGAAAAGGGCAGCACGCCAGGTGGCAGAAATTGACGGAGCAGGAATGTGACCTTCTGAATCGCATCAGAGTGGTGGATGGCAAAGGTTGGAAGTGGTCCAACAACTTCGCGGCAGTTTGGGGCAAACCACGCAGGCCCCGGATCCATGTCTGAGGATCGAATATTCTGAGGCGAGACCCCTCGTCTCTCATGCACAGTTACGACTGTTTATGCATTGTACACTTCTCTTCTGGTGTATAATTCTTATAAGAAAAAAAAAAGATTAACCGAAATGAATCTACAAATTATGAGAAAGAAACCCAATAAATTCCTCCACAAATTCTACAAGCTCATTCACGCACCACGCATTTAAATTTAAATTTACACATACCGCTTCTAGCATATACAGTAATCCCCCGGATAAAAGACCCCCCCATAATAGTGTACCCGGGTCTTTAATACGGGGGGGGGGGGGGGGGGGGGGGGGGGTCTTTTATTACAGGCTGTTTGAGATAGACCCCCCATTTGACCCGAAAACATTATAAGACCCCCCTTCGCCCTTAAAACGTCATTTTAAATGTAATTAATTAGCAATCACTCACATTAGAGGCCTACAGAGTCATGAACTACGCACTGTCATAAACGCATCAGACAATTAGCCATCCTCGTCCAAACTACCAATGATATCAACATGCTTTAGCTACCGTCATCGCCCGGATATAAGACATATATGTCTTATCTCATACACTAAAAAAAATGCTTGGGTTATCTTGTGTTTGGGGAGGTTTTGGGTGTCTTATAAGTCTTATAAATGGAAACCTTTTTAAACTACTTCGAAATATTTTCACGCATCTTGAAAAGAGTTTCTCATTAAGAGTGTCGATGTTGCGAAGTTGCCACTTCGGCAACCATTGTTCGAAACGCCACGTCATCCCGAGTACTTGCAGAGTCAAATTTGGTAGTATGTGACTCAGCACGTGGCAGAATTCGCGTGTCGCAAGGGTAAAAATGTACGCGGTATTTCAATTTTCACTATAATACATTGCAAGTTCGATTATGACACATATGTCTTATCTCGTACACACAAATAGGTGTCGTATAAAAAGGCTAGCCTGTTTATAAGAGACACCCGTATAGTAGACAACCCATGTCTACTATTCAACACTGTCTTATATCCGGGCGATGACGGTAGTCTTCTTCGTCACCTGCCACCCACTCGTCCACCTCTTCCCCCTCATAGCGACCAGGGGCCCACCACTCGTCCCCGTCGTCGTGACTGTGGAAGCGCTCATCTGTAGAGTCTCCTCGAGATTATTGCCCCCAACTCACGTCGCATGCATGGGGTGTCAGTACCGAGGCGGGCTGCCACCACGAAGGGGACGTGGTACACGCTGGTTACCACTAAATATGGGCCAATTAGTAGACACCATTCAGATGCTAGATGGTTTGATGCCGTTTTCTCGGCCTCGATCATTCGCGTAGTGTTTCTTCGTTTTAAAAAATGTGCACAACATTACAACACCCCCGCATTTCATAACATTTCAAAACGCAATGCACTTATCCCCCACGTCATTATCATTTAATAAGACCCCCCACATTTTTTTCTGAAATATTTAGTAGACCCTAGGGTCTTTTATCCGGGGGAATACGGTAGTAGATAGAGGGCGCACACAACCCAAAACGCCCGCATCGGTTCCTCTGGGTTCGTCTTGTTATTTCTCCTCGCATTACTCTGCATATTACTGTAGCAAGCCTTGGTTGCAGCCTGCATGGCTGCTTGGACCTCTTGCTGACTCGAGCTGGCTTCATTTCCTGCATGGCATAGATGGTGGTGGGAGGACGACGACGGTTGTGCCCAGACCATCCCCCTTGTTGCAGAACTCCTACTCATTTGACTGCGAATCTTGACTCCAGCCAGGCTGCCTGGTCCTCGTGCTTCCTTTCCTGCATGGCAAAGGCAGAGTGTTGGGAGTGAGGAGCGGGTTGCTGGGTGGGAGTGAGATGGTGGTGGGAGTGAGATGGTGGTGGGAGTCATGAGGAAACAGCAGATGGGATGGAGGAACTTGAGCAGCCTATGTGACGTATGAATGTGTAGGCGAGCACAGCTCACCCACAGACCGCCTGACCCTTCTGCCCCTCCTACCGTGACTGTAGGCCTCGCTGCGCCTCCCCCTCCTTCCACAGCTGTCTCCCCCCCAGTGCCTCTGCCAGCTCGCTCCTCAGCAGCCAGTGGGCGAGCTCAGTACACGCACACCACTCACGCACAAACAGCTTCTGCCCCTCTTGACCGTCCTGCCCCTCCTTCCCCTCCCATCATAAGTCCCTTTCCTGCTGTGCCTCTACCAGCACGTCCTTGAGAAGCCTGTGCACCCCATTCTCGTCTGAAATGGCCACTGCACACAACATCACAGGCGGTTTAGTGCTTGGCAGGTAAGGAGGAGATGGGACGATGCAGGCAGAGAAGATGAGGCGTGGGTGCCATGCGTTGGGGGTTGTGAATGCATTCACCCCATTGCAGTCATCCAAGCCGATAAAGGTGGGATATGCATGCAGCATGGGGCATCGGGTATGCATGCAGCATGGGGCATGGGGTATGCATGCAGCATGGGGCATGGGGTATGCATGGGGCATGGGGCATGCATGTAGCATTCACTCCGGCCCGGAGAGAGTGAATGGGAAGAGCCACAGTCAGCATCTGGAGACAGACACGACCAAAGAGTTGTGGGTGTAGCAAGTAACCTTCACGCATGCACACCCCTTGTAAGCAACTGTTGAGAATTCTCAAATGTTGATCAGGGGAATGATGGGTGCATGCAGTAAGTCACCCAGGGATGAGCAGGGTACCGAACCGAACCAGTTCGTTTTTGTGGACCAACTAGTTTAGCATGGAGGCAGTTTGTGGTTTGTTGAATAGCCAACAAACCAAACCGCTTTGCCGAACCGACCTCGTTCCGTTCATTTTTCCACTTGGTCCTACCATGGAACCCAATGAACTCATTTTACGAGCTGCGACCCAAAAACAAACCATGGGAAACACACTAATGTTAGGTGGAAGACACGCTAATGTTAGGTGGAAGGGGAAGATTGTGAGACAATGGGAATTGTAAAGCTCGAAATGAGCTCCAGCACCCTGGGTTGTACTCAAACCTAGACGACCTGTGTCAAGCACACCCCTTGCGACGATTGTCGCGATTTCTCAAAAATCGATCAGGGGAATGGTGAATGCATGTAGTAAGTAACCCCCCCCCCATTCCTCACCTTACCGTGTGTGTGCTACCTGATAACACCAATACTCCACCAACGCCCAGGTTCCTTCCATCTTGACCTGCCCACGTCAACCTGCACCCAACTGGTCAGGCGGTGCCAGGAGAGAACTACGGCCTCAGGAGTGCTGCGTTCACTACCCCCCATGCATGCACACCCCCATTCCTCACGTCAACATGTGTTACCTAATACCACCACATCCCACCACACTCAACACCTGCAGCCACCTTGTCCAGGCGGCACTGGGAGAAAGCCACAGCCACGGGAACATGCCCTCATGCATGCCCTCCCACCAGCACTCACCTTACCGTGTGATAGCACCACACCCCACCACATTCAATAGCTGTACTCACCTTGGCAAGGCGGCATCTGGAGAGAGCCATGAGTATGGAATGCTGCGAGCAGTACGTCTCACCCCGCACTTTCCCCTCCTCACCTTGCCCGCCTCCCCTTGGCCATGTGGGGTCTGGTCTGGAGAGAGCCAATCAGCACGAGAATGCTGCATGCCTTACCTTTTAGCAAACACTCCCCCATGTCTTGGTTGCCCACCTGCCCGTGTGCTACATAATAGAACCACACTTCACCACATTCAACCCACGCTCACCTTGGCCAGGCGTCGTCGAGAGAGGGCCACGACCACGGAAATGCTGCAGGCATTATCCCTGACGAATGCACTAGCCCCTCATGCATGCACCCTCCCATTCCTCACGTCAACATGTGTTACCTGGTAGCACCACATCCCACCACACTCAACACATGTAGTCATCTTGGTCATCTGACGCACGCACTAGCCGCCCCCCCCACCACCTCCCCTTCTCCACCTCACTGTGTGTTACCTGATAGCAATGCACTTCACTACACTGAACACCTGCACTCAACTTGTCTCTCCCACCCAGCACCACACTTGTCTCTCCCACCCAGCACCACACTTGTCTCTCCCACCCATCACCACACTTGTCTCTCCCACCCAGCACCCCACTTGTCTCTCCCACCCAGCACCACAGACTTCTATTTCTG